TCTAGAAAAATGGTACAGATGACCCGTTTTGCAGGGCAGAAATAGAGACAGAGATGCAGAGAACAAACGTATGGACACCAAGGGGGGAAAGTGGCAGGGGTGGTGGGGGTGGTAGTGTGATGAATTGGGAGATTGTGATTGACATGTATACACTGATGTGTATAAAATGGATGACTAATAAGAAAAAAGTGAGAGTAAAAAGTTTTGCTAAAAATTAAAAAAAAAAGAAAATGTGGGTGTTAACTATTGTTATTCTTTACCTATTTATTATACAGGATCTGGGAGGACAAGCCTGGAGCTGTTGGCAGCCCCTGTACCACTATAGGGCACATGAAGTCTGAGAAGGAATGAAGTTGGCATGAAGCAGAGCAGAGCCAAGATCACTGGGCCCTGATCACAGGATTGGGCCTGGGTCCCGAAGCTGGTTGTACCCAGGATTTTTCAGACGTGAGGCAATAAATCCCTTTTTTTGCCTAATATTCTGTGACTGGAGTCAGAAATAGTCTTAAATGACACAACCGTCAAGCAGTATGCCAAGCTAGAAACTTGAGACCCATTTCAATTTTTCCCTCTCACTGTCCACATTCCACATAGCAAGTCTGCAGATTCTATCCAACACTTCCTCAACTTCTTTCCATTATGATTCCTTTTTCTCACATCCTTAACTCAAGGGAGGAAAAAAAAAAAAAAGCAGTATTTGCTGAGTACCTATCACGTACTTATAGACTGCTAGGACATGTTCACTTTAAAAAAAAATAAATTTATTTATTATTTATGTATTATTATTTGTGGCTGCACTGGGTCTTTGTTGCTGCGAGTGGGCTTTCTCTAGTTGTGGCGAGCGGGGGCTACTCTTCACTGCGGTGCACGGGCTTCTCATTGCAGTGGCTTCTCTTGTTGCATGGGCTCTAGGCACGTGGGTTTCAGTAATTGTGGCTCACGGGCTCTAGAGCGCAGGCTTAGTAGTTGTGGTGCACGGGCTTAGTTGCTCTGCGACATGTGGGATCTTCCCGGACCAGGGCCCATACCCATGTCCCCTGCATCGGCAGGTAGATTCTTAACCACTGCGCCACCAGGGAGGCCCCATGTTCACTTTTTAATTCTGACAGTAACTCTATGAGGAATTCGAAGCACAGAGATGGTGACTAACTAGTCCAAGTTCACACAGTGAGCCAGTGGTGGTGATTCCCACTCCAGAGGCCACACTTGGCACCACTATGCCATACTGTCTTGATAAACATTTACTCAACGGCTAACCCCAGGAGCAACATCTACAGAACTCCACCCCAGGCAGTGCCCACATGACACAGGCCAGTGGCTACTTAGTCCTTTTTGAAAGTAGCAATGACCCTCTCTAAAGCAGTCTAGTCAATATCAGGAGTCACACACACCCAACCTGATCACTTTTCTCAGGGAATTGGTCATCAACCACTAAATCTACCCATTCTCAGCCCCAAACCTTGTGGAGCCTATTTGCAAAGAAAAGAGCAACACTAGCTAGGTTGTGGCCATGCCACATCTTTCAATCCTAAAAAGACAAACAAGGGACTTCCCTAGCAGTCCAGTGGTTAAGACTTTGTCTTCCAATGCAGGGGGTGCAGGTTTGATCCCTGGTCAGGGAGCTAAGATCCCACATGCCTCGTGGCCAAAGAACCAAAACATATAACAGAAGCAACATTGTAACAGATTCAATAAAGATGTTGAAAAAAAAAAAAAAAAAGACAAACAAATGGCAAACAAAAAAAGACAAACAAATGGTGATTTTCTCAGCTGGAATTCACACACACACACACACACACACACACACACACACACCAGTTCACCAGTCTCCTTAGAAATATAGTTCTTCATGGAGTCTTTCCTGAATAGTCATATAAAACTCTTTCTGCCACCATTCCTGGGTTCCTCACATAGTCAATTAGAATGCTTATTGCTTCTCCTACAGCTGTCTCCTTTCAGTTCCTCAAATCTGCTGAGCTCACACTGGGACTTTTGCCTGAGACTGGGACACTCTTCCCACCTGTCTCCACAGAGCCAGCACCTGCTCTTCCTTGGATGTCTGCTTCAGGGAGGCCTCTCCTGCCCACCCTGCCTAAGGTAGGTCCTGCGTTCCCACCACCACCTTATTCAGAACCTCAGTCCCTTGACGACTCTCTTCCCAACGCTTAGAACAACATGCTACTATTTTATTCACTTGTATGCTGACGTGGGGTTTGTTTGTGTTTGCATGTGTTTTCCTCATCTTTCTCCTTTATTAGAATGAAACCGAACAGGAATCTTGAGAGCAGGAAACCTGTTTGTTGCTGTTGTATCCCTAGTATCTCACATAGGCCTGATGTATAGCAAGTACTCTGTCTCTGTCTCTGTCTCTGTCTCTGTCTCTCTGTCTCTCTCTCTGTCTCTCTGTCTCTCTCTGTCTCTCTCTCTGTCTCTCTCTCTCTCTCTCTCTCTCTCTCTCTCTCTCTCTCTCTCTATATATATATATATGTTTGTTGAGTGAACGAATAAAACAACCAGAGACTAGACCATAGCACCTGGGGGGTCTGATTTCACTCCAATCACAGATGACCTGGTGCGCCCCTTTTAAAACACTTGATTGGTATAAATGGGCAGAATGGGTAAAGTCCCCAAACCCTGGATGCTTCTCCTTTTGATAGAATTCCACTGATCCCCAAATGATTCTTTTCCTATTCTTATGTAGCTTGCTTAGACCATAATGCTATAAAGACATTTTAGTGTGATACCACCAGTCCCTGAATTTCTCTCATGCCTCTGTCTGGCTTGGCCTCAGCTTTAAAGTCATGTTAATGACAGAGGCCTCCACCTGTCTTTCAAAGGGCTCGGCGTCCAGCTGGGGAATGAGGCAGATGAGATACCCTACTGTGGAGGAGAGGGGTACCCAGCAGGCTCTGGAAGAACCTAAAACACAGAGTCTTGTCCTGAGGAAGAGCAGGGGTGACAGGGGAGGGGAAACACGACTCTAATGCGTATCCTCTGTGTATCTGGGTTCTCCCATATTATCTCGTTTAATCCTCACCATGGTCCTGTGATGTGGATGTTTTCACCACCATTTTATAGTTGAGAGTTGTAGTGGAAAAATATGGGCTTTTATGTCAGATTAGCCTGGATTCACATTTCCCCCTTCCCAAATTAGCTGCTGTAGGGCCCTGGGGCAAGCTACTTAACTTCTCTGGGCTCAGTTTCTTTATTTCTATTATAAGGCTAGTAACAATTACAGTTGCTATGAATATCTTATGATGAAGATACATGACACATTCGTTGAAGTGATTTTGTGCTCAGCACATACTAGATACTCAATACATCATAACCTTTTTTATTAAGAGATTTGCCCAAGAGTCCCATAATAAGTGGCCTGGAACTTGATGACCTCTTGCTTTGTAGGATCCTAAGGATATTTTCTCTAAGACCATTTGGTTTGTCTCATTTCCCAGGTCATGAGCTCTTCCAGGACAGGGATGGTATCACCTCTTTACCTCTTTTTTGGTTTAGTGGCCTATATATGCAGTGGTTATAACTCACACTCCAGTCTCCTGCAGTAAGATAGCATGGATTAGGCTGATAATTAGGTTTTCTACTCAGTGGTATGTGTGAATATTAATAGACTAGGCAAATGGTCCTCTGAAATAAGTGAGCACCCAGGTCCCCCTGTCCCCCTTATCCTCCACCTCAAAGAACAACTCCCTCTGTACACACATCTAACCAAGGAGAACATAAAACAGTTTCAGTGATGTGACTCATTCGTGTTTTATGCACAAACATCGTGAAAGAAAATAAAACTTACCAGAGTCACACCAGGAAGGATGAAGGACATTTTAACCTCTGATAAACTAACAAATTTCTAGTCAGCAACCTGGAAACAGTTGAGGTTTTTAGATACAGTATTGTATATCTATGTACCTACCTTCTGATTCATGAAGTGATTCACTCCCCCTCCCATCCCTATGCCCAATCACTAAGAACTGCCCATTCCTGTTATGATTTTCTGTTCAAGCCACACTTTTGCTTTCCATCGCTGCTCAGGCCCTCTGCATCCTTCTCTCTCTACAAAATTGTCCCTGCAGTGGTCTCCCTGATGACAGTCTTGTCTTCTAGAATCTAGGCTCCACACTGGCACCAGACAGGCGGCTCCAAAATGCCACGGACCATGTCCCACTCTGCCCCCTTAACCTTCAATATCTTCCCTTGTCTCCCCTCTGCCATACAGCACTTTAGCTTAGAATACAAGTCTCAACAACCTGACAAGAAGGAACATCGAGGGGCTTCCTTGGTGGCACAGTGGTTAAGAATCCACCTGCTAACGCAGGGGACACGGGTTAGAGCCCTGGTCCGGAAAGATCCCACATGCCGCGGAGCAACTAAGTCCGTGTGCCACAACTACTGAGCCTGCGCTCTAGAGCCCGCGAGCCACAACTACTGAGCCTGTGCTCTAGAGCTTGCGAGCCATAACTACTGAAGCCCACGTGCCTAGAGCCCATGCTCAGCAACAAGAGAAGCCACCGCAATGAAGCCCGCGCACCACTCGCTGCAACTAGAGAAAACCCGCGCAAAGCAACGAAGACCCAGTGCAACCAAAAATAAATAAATTGTTTTTTAAAAATTAAGAAATGCTTTAAAAAAAAAAAAGAAGGAAGATTAATTATGTCTTTAGCACTTTTTGAGTCTTAAGATCAGCTGCCCAATGCTTACTTTTAAACGTGTTTCAAGACCCTTAAGTGCCTTAGGAAGTAGATGAATTATAGAAATCCTAAATAAATAAACAAGCCTTGGACCCTCATAAAATGTGTTGTTGCCCAATCATAAATAAATCTTGCTCTCTAAGGGGGCAGTGTTGTCAGGCAAATGTCACATAAAATAAACGGAATAAGGTAAAAATGGAGTGTCCGCTTTCTGAAAGGGAGAAACAGTGACCCACACCAGGCAGTAAAGGCAGCCAGGTCATAATTTCTTTCCTCCAATCCCACCTCCTAACTTTCCACACCCGAACCCCGCCCTTGCTGATTACAGCCCCAGCTGCAGCAACAAAACGATGTTCCCAGAGGCTTCTCCTGGCTGGTCTGAGCTGCTGTCCTCTGCAGTTACCTTGCGTGTGGTAAGTATTTTTGCAATAATTTCAGTGCTGCAAACCTCTTGTCTTTCTCTTTCATCCTCTTTCAAAAGAAAAAAAAATTATTCTAAAAGTAACGAATTCCGGAGCCAGTAAAACGTTACCACGTAACTAACACAAGGCAGAATTGAATAATAGGTATTAATCATTTGTTTTGGTGAATTTTTGTTAAAACCCACGTCTGCAACATGTAATTGTCTTTTAAATTAAATTTGACAGTGGTGATTCATAAGAGCCTGTGTATATCATGACAGTTTCTTAAAAATGAAGGTACATTTTTTAAGAGAAAAAAATGTTCTTAGACATTGAAAGAAGAAATTATCGTATCATCATTAAGACTGGTGTCTTAATATTCTGTTTAAGCAGAATATTCTAAAATTCCTTCTAGAAACTTGTTTCATTTGTAGCTGGTTTCAAGATTTGCTGTTGGAATTACTTTTGCTAGTGTGGGGCAGGGGGACACGACGTCTGCTTCAGTCATTTTGAGGTTTATTATTATTTTATTGTCCGAAGTTAATTCTAAATGGCTCTGTTTTTATATAACAAAAACAATTTTTTGAGATCATCACAATCTGGCCACTTGTTGCCTGTCCTGATTTGTATTGTTGTTATTATGGGCACTATTACCAAGGCACATCTCAGTATTTTCACTGTTGAGGGAATGATTAGCTTTTCTCACTTGTATGATTTAAAGAAAAGAGAAAAAGAAGGTTTTTTTCTCCCTCTTACTTCCAGGTCCCTAAGGCAAACACATTTCTTAAAGATGGTGGATAAAGGGCATGTGCAGTTTGGGAGGTGTTATTTCTGACATCTAGATAGATGTACAGTCTAGAGATTGTTTTTGCGGTGCACGGGCCTCTCACTGTTGTGGCCTGTCCCGTTGCGGAGCACAGGCTCCGGACACGCAGGCTCAGCGGCCATGGCTCACGGGCCCAGCCATTCCGCAGCATGTGGGATCTTCCCGGACCGGGGCACGAGCCCGTGTCCCCTGCATCGGCAGGCGGACTCTCAACCACTGCGCCACCAGGGAAGCCCCAGTCTAGAGATTTTGAAATTGTGTGTATGGGACATAACAGTTTCTGTATTCATACATTTGTTCATTCATTTATTTTTTTTAAACATTCATTATTGAACCTTTACTCTGCTCCAGGCACTGTGTTAGGATAAAAAGATGAGTGGCTAGGACCCGTTGTGCTCAGACTCCAATAGAGGTGTGGGACCTGAAAACAACTGACCTTAAAATATAACCAGGACCAGACAGGCATCTTGAGAGGCCTTAAATACACTGAAAATGTGTGGTGTGCTACCCATCCACACCCCTCCATATGTAAAGAAGTCTGATGTGATTGTGATTATTTCCCTCAAAGTTTTCACTATTTTATTTCATTTTATTGCCCCAACTTTATTGGTGCCTTAAGGATGTGCTTAGTTTACCTCTTGCAAAGCAATCAACCCTAAGAACAACCCCAATGCACTTGAATGCATTAGCAAAATGCAGAGGAATCCAGGAGGACTGAGCAAGCACCATTGGTTAGCCATCAGTTTTATTGAGAAATTAGCACTTAATACTACTTTCAAACTCATTTGGGTTTTATGAGGATGGGCGGGGGAGGGGGGATGAAAATGGAGAAAAATGTGTGTGCTTTTAATGGCTGCCCCTGTTAGCGCATAGATCATGCTCCGGAAAAATACATCTGGAGGCTTTTGGGAGAAAAACATATTTTATAATTGAGTGCTTGTATAGGCTGCTGCTTTTTTCCTGAATTAAATTTAAGCATTTCATGGCCACCAGGTAATTGTATTTTTACTGAAGTTTTGAGATCCATTTATACTGACTAGAGCACTCACAAATGGTTTTGTTATCTTCTTAGAAAGTATTGGATGGGACTAGCTCAAGTTACAGATTACAGACACCACCAAAATTCACCATTCTGTAACTTCTGACCTTTGATTTTATGGCAAATGGCCAGCACTCTCTTAACCCTCTTTACTTCCACCACCAGTACAAGTTGTTGGCATTGGGTGGGATGGGGGGCTCTTCCTCCCCATCCCTCGCAAATAGTACAAAATCTAAAATTATTTAACAAAGTTGACTGTTTACCAAAAAAGTTTTCTAAAAAAATCAACTAAGTCCCTTCAAGATGTTTGTGCTGAAGTGGATGCAGCTATTAGCTGTCTTTTACCAGGTAAGTGATCTTCAACCCACATGATTCAAAGGACAGATGATTTCAATTCAAAACTGAGTTGCAGCAAGATGTAAAATACAGTCCTGTACATCATAGGTCTTCTAGGTTTGGTTTTTTTTTTTTTTTTTTTTTGCAGTACGTGGGCCTCTCACTGTTGTGGCCTCTCCCGTTGCGGAGCACAGGCTCCGGACGCGCAGCCTCAGCGGCCATGGCTCACGGGCCCAGCGGCACTGCGGCATGTGGGATCTTCCCAGACTGGGGCACGAGCCCGTGTCCCCTGCATCGGCAAGCGGGCTCTCAACCACTGCGCCACCAGGGAAGTCCTCTTCTAGTTTTTTTAACCAAGATATTAAATCTGAGACAGTTGCAGGATTGCTATACTGCTATGACCAGATACTAGATATGCCAGGCATGGGTAGAGCCAAGCCCTCTGCAAGTCCAGGAGCTGGTGATACCCTCTTCTCTTTTTGGGATTCCCCCCTGCTGAGCTCCTATTGAAGACAAAGTGTTCTAAGAAAGATGTGAAGAGAGAAACAGAATAAAGGCAAGATATGAGTCTGGGTAGATAAATAATTGCCTAAGTGAGGAATATGATTTTAGTTGAGAGTTTTCATAGCTGCATATGAATTGAGACTTCAGAGGTAACTCCAAGATTCATTCACTCAACCAATAATATTTCAACCTTTAATTCTGCAAACAGAAATAAACTATGGGATGAGCTGGAAGAACTCAGATTAAACTCTTTCTTGGAAAGACTCTTTCTGCTCCTTTATACCAACTCAAGAGTCATGGTAGAGGTGTTAACTAATTAGATAATAATTCTGAGCCAGAGCACAATGATTGGATCCCACTTCTAAAAGAGATAAATGCTTGCTCCCCAGTTATAACAGAAAGGGAAGCAGCCTTCTCTTCACTGTAGGATAAATGATTTTATTGCCACTTTTGGGTATGTTCATTAAAAGGTGTTCCTGCACACAAAAAAATTTTTGTTAGATTAAATGGAAGGATATAATCACAGATGTCAATAGTGGTTAACTTTGTATGCTGGATTTAATAGAAATTTTTTCTTTTGACACTTTTGTGATTTTTAGACATGTCTTCATTGATCATATTAATTGAGCTAAGTTTTTAAGATTATACACATTTGGGGTGAAAATTAAGTGGGAGGGGAAATTTGAAATTAGAGGGGAAATGTGTGTTTTATTTTTGTGTAAAAGACTTAAGCTCCATGGGCTTCCCTGGTGGCACAGTGGTTAGGAGGTCCACCTGCCAACATAGGGGACACGGGTTCGAGCCCTGGTCTGGGAAGATCCCACATGCCGCGGTGGGACTGAGCCGCTACGCCACATCTTCCGAAGCCTGCGCGCCTAGAGCCCGAGCTCCGCAACATGAGAAGCCACCACAATGAGAAGCCCGCGCACAACTCACAACAGAGTAGACCCTGCTCGCCGCAACTAGAGAAAGTCCACGCACAGCAACAAAGACCCAATGCAGCCAAAAATAAATAATAAATAAATAAATAAATTTATTAAAAAGAAGAAAAAAGGCTTAAGCTCCACCACTTCAGTACTCAAATCATCATTTTGGATAGACTTCCTTTAATAATTATAAAAATTTAATTCTCAACCCTCCCTGCACCTTGGAATCCCCTGGGAAGCATTAAAAATATCAGTGCCAAGGCCAGACCAATGGACCAGAATCAGAATGCAGCCAAGTAGTTGGTATTTTTAACAGGTCAACTCATAATCTAAGGTTCCATATTATAATTTTTCTGTCTTCACAGCATTGACCAGGAAGTTACATTACTTAGAATTAGACTCCACGGGCATTTTACTGCTCTCTTCTATTGTCAGAATGGGTGGGTTTTGGTAACATCTAATATGAAAGTTTTCCAGCTCTAGGGCGTAGAACTTGGGACTTTGATCAGTCATACAGTCAGATGTGATTCACTGGTGTGTGCACAAGATGTACTGCTTAACAAAACACCATCAGCTTGTTTTAAATGGATATTTAAATACCGGGGTTAGCCTGTGTCAGCCAAGTCTCCTTTCTAAGCTTCCCCACTGGTCACTTGCTAAAGCAGTTTTAGAATGGGTTTCTGAGAAAAACACAGACTTTTCTGCAGCCATGCCTTTGGCTTATCTCCGTGTTGAATTAGGATGGCTGTTAGCTCACCTCCATGCTACACTAGGATGGCCTTTTATTCAGGTACATGTCCTGGTTGCATCTTTTAATTTTTATAACAGTGCATTTGCCTTATACACCTTTCCTTCTGTGTACCTGTTGCTATGTATAATAAGCAACCCTAGTTGGGAATCTGAACTCAGTTTCTTGCCAGAGGCTTCTAATTAAACCTCACTTCTGCCCAAATCTTATCAAGCCCCAGCTGGTGAAAATACTATTCATGGAAGTTTATAAAAGAATATGCATCCATGTGTTTCACTGAACAATCTAAAAAATCTGATTTTTAATCTTGAATCATCCCAGATTATCAGAGGGGTAAATACTTAGATGGGATCATTTTAGCTTCTCGGTGATTGCTTTCAGTGATTCTACCCTAGCATTGTGCTGTAACCCTATATTAGGGTATAGGTTTGGGAAAGTCATTCTATTTATTTTAGAGATACTGATAAAGGCTTTAGCCACTGCATGTCACAAATAATCTCCTTTTTGAGGAGCTTGATGAGAAATTTCTCTAGGTCTCAATCTGTTTTCATTTTATGGACATGATCAATCTCCTAAATGTTTATGTTCCCTCTTTGCTTTGCCTGGTAGTGATCTCAGAGGGACAGCAGTCAG